AATAACTCCGCTTGTATTCGTCCAAATGTGAAATTTTGAGTGTACGTCAGTGAAAGGCCTACCTCTCCGACGCATATAATTGCCAATAGATAACCTCACTAGAAGTACCTATGTTTGAAAAGTCCTTTTTACTTTTTAACGTACCTTATATCAATCAAGAAGCAAAAATTTCTGCGGAAGAGCGAGAGTTATCTTTACCAGTGGTGTATTATATTTTCAAATTAATGTTTAATTTTTTACTATACTTATCCACGAAACCTCCATGAAAAAGTATCAGTTATTATTATTAGTGTAAAAGTTGAACATCTGTGAAGACAATGTATATTTCATGTACTGTAAAATACTGAATACCGTTTTTGTTATTAATATTTATTATGTATCTATTATTCATTCAACAGTTGTACGACAGAATTTTTAGTAGGTAATATACAATTCAGTGATTTATACAAAGTATTTTTGTAGCAAGTAAAATTCGTTAAAATAAACATTTATTTGCAAAAAACTTAATAATTAAAAATTTACCATAGGTATCAATTTCGAAAAAAACATTTATTTCAGTTCTGCTTTGAATTTAAGAAAAGATTTTAGGCCCAGTCTGATTTAACAAAGTGGGACGCGACGTACCCAAAAACTATGGACTATAGTAAGGATAAAAAGTTTTCCTTTAATTTATTGTATCAGCGGCCGGTTATATGTGGGTAACAAGTTCTTGCCTTGTATTATTTAGTGTTTTAAAAACTTTTTCATCGGATCCCATAAAAACAAATATCAAAGGTTAAGATCTGGTGACCTGACTGGCCACGCAACTACCAACTTAAAAAGGCCGAACAAGAATACCGTTGACAATTAATAGCTGCCCACACATTTAATGAACATCTATCTTGTAACTGGCCTTGTGTCTGTAAGGCTTAAAATTGCTGTACATGAAATGGGTAAAACTGATTTCTATACAACATTGTTCAAACCTTTTTTAATTCAGTTTAACTTGATGTGCAATATTTCCTTCACTTATTATTAGGTCTTCATAAAAAAAATTACTTCCTTTACGCATTTTCTGGTGTACTACTAGGCCTTCCCCTCGCTGGTAAATAAACATTAAAAATTTATTTAGAGTTTTAAGTGGTAGATTATTATGAATCATCTAGTATATTTTCCGAATTTAGCAGTAGATGATTTTCAGCTCGATTTTCAGGATGATAAAAAAATTGTTTTCTATATCTTGGAACGAAAACGATTTCAAAGCAGCAACTAAAATTAAGTGTAAACAAATCAACAGATAATCTTTGATGTCTGTGGTACTGTTGGAATGAAAAATAAAAAGTGTAACACACACAAATGATGGTAATAATTTCAGTCTTTGCTGTAGGTTTAAATAGGAATACCTACAGTACTTAAAATTAGAGTAAACATCGCCATTGAAATTAACAACGCAATTAAAATGAAAAAATGTGTTGTTCCATAATACATTCAACAAACTGTCTTCGCTCTGCGTGGTCAGTATGCTTCAGTTCTTGAGTCAATTGAACTGTAAGCATAAAGATGCAAATCTTTCGTGAGAATATGCTGTAGAGAGCTTCTCGAAATGTCTAGTTCTTGACCACGATACTGATGTTCCTGGCCTCTCAGCAACACTCTCAAGAACTGCTTTGCTGCTTTGTGCTGAGCGACTTGTCGAAAGACGGCCAAAGTGTTTAAGATCACTAATCGATCTAGTCTCCCTGAATTTTTCAATTAGTCTCTTCACAGTTGTTGAAGTGAAATCACTATTCTGACCATATTTTATACGAAAACTACGAATTGTACCTGCCAAACCTTCATTATTTTTAAAATATTGCTCAACAATGAAATTCGCACTGTTCTTTCGTGTAGCTCTCCATTTTTAATAACTCTGAACTGTCAGCTATCACGCAGTCGTTTTTTTTTCGTTGGCAACACTTTACCACATAAATGGCGCAAAATTCAAATCTTTCGTGAATTTTAGGACATCCTATACTGTCTCCGGATGTAACTATTGTTCGCTAGCTCTTCAATTAGATTAATAGATTAATTGATTTTAATACTGATGCAAATTTTTTTCTTTCAAGTTTTAATGGGTGATTATTTTGAAATTGTAAACCTTAAAATTTTGTATAAAATATAATTTCTAGTGTTAAATATGTATTTTGACATTTAGAATTAATCTAGTTTGACTGCAGGGTAATCCGGATCTGATATATTACATGGCATTCTGCCAATAGAAGGAAACGAAAATATTGGAAAACGAAAGGTATGGTCGTGGAGAGAATTTGAAAAGTCAAGTGTGCGATTAGTCACCGCTTGGGAGAAAGTTGGCATACGATTTGTCACTGAGCAGATGGGCTGCAAGTTGTTCCAAATATACACGAACGAGACTTCAGGTCTTGTTTTACACTTTCGAACAGAATAGTTCAAATATTAATGCTTCTATTTTATCTTTCAATTGTACTGAAAGGAAAATGTTCATTATTTTAAATATTTAGGAGTGACCATTACAAATAAAAAGGAGGAAGATATGGAAATTTATAGAAGACATACAAGGGTCTTGGTTGTACTGAAAAATATAATAATATCGATGCTAATAAGCAGAAATACGGAAGATCAAATATTACTCATATAAGCAACTGTGTTGTACGGAAGTAAAATGTGAATTCTAAACAAATTAGAAAGTCAGGTAAAAATATTATGCAAGATATATGGAAGAGCGAAAGATAATGAGGAGTATGTGAGAAAAAGAACAAACGAAGGGAATCATGATTATTTATAAATAGTGTAATACAGTGTATATGACAAAAAGTGCTGTGGTTAGGGTTATGTACTACGAATAACAGGTAACAGATTTTTAAAAAAGGAAAGTACGAAGGAAATAATGAGGTAAGAAATTACAGGTCTGGACATAAGACTTACAGTACTATTTCCAGAAAGAGAAACAACAAAATAATGAGACTTTAAAAAAAAAATTATATCTGCTCATATATGATCCTTACCATGCTCGGCGATACAAGCAGTTCAAGGAACTCTTTCTTCATGGATGATATCTTTCAAGATTTGTATTATTATTTATTATTGTTTTTAAATATGTTACCAAGCCCAGAAGGGTCGTTTTTCATAACACCTGTCATTGAGTCTGATCTTAGAGAAGCAGTTGTTCCGGTTATATCGAAAATTTTTAAAATTTTAATTAAAGATAAACTTATAATTTATATAATATAGATGATAAGTATATCATAACTCCTTCGCAGTACGGGTTTCGTAAAAATTGTTCAAAACAGTCCAGGCATTAATAACTGCTGTGGAAAGTATTGTTAATAGAATAGACGGAAGGCGCTCTTACTAACGCAGTAATGTGTGATTTGTCAAAAGCCTTCGATTGTGTAAATATTGAACTTCTGTTGTTTAAACTAAAACACTACGGCGTTATGGGAAAGGCATATAGTCTTTTTAAATCATACTTGACCAACAGTACAATATGTTAATCTTAATGGTGTTACTTTTGATTTACTTCCCGTTACATACGGAGTTCTCCAAGAATCTGTGTTGGGGCCGGTTTTATTTTTGCTCTACATAAATGACTTACCCATGTCACTGTCTGACACTGCGTGTATTCTTTTTGCCGATGATACTACCTTGATTAGTAGAGGTGAGAGCTCTTTATATAAGGATGGTTTGAATAGTGCTAAAATTTGGTTCGGGAGTAAACTGAAACTCCATGAAGCTGAAACTAAAAATATACTATTTTGTTCTGATAAATGGGCCGTCAAGTCCAGTCCAGTTCGTTTGCTGGGAATAACACTTGATACCATATTGTGTTGGAGTGCGCATATTCATTCTATTTGTTCAAAACTTTCATCACTAAATTTTGTTATGAGACAACTCAGATCGTGCCTAGATAATGCTACTACGAAGATTGTCTACTTTTCACTATTGCACAGTGTGATGCCATATGCGATAATTCTTTGGGGCAATGCACCAAAGTCATATAAAGTGTTTCACTTACAGAAGGCAGCTGTATGGATCATAGACAAAGCCCACTATGGAATGTCCTGTAAACCCATTTTTAAGAAATATCAAGTCTTACCAATGCCCTGTGTATATATTTTTGAAACACTTTTATTTGTACATAAAAATGCTAATAGCTTATTATGTCATGCTGATAGACATAATTTATAGCACAAGACACAGAAATAATCTCATATCCCCCTTTTCGCGTTTGCGCATTACGCAAATGAATAAAATTGATATCAACTTGTACAATAAATTTGTGAATATTCATCAGCAAATAGATTTGAAATCAATGAATTATAGAACATTTTTTCGACTGGCTAAAGATTTTCTTTTAACTCATTGCTTTTATACTGTTAACGAATATCTAAATTTTTTACCATAACTTTTCTGTTTTTTAACTTTTTGTAGGTTATTATCAATTACTCGTATATTCTTTCTATATCATTTTAATTTAGTTGTTAATTTGTGACAAAAATGTACTGATGTATACATATATTGTCAATAAAATCTATCTATCTATCTATCTACCTATAATAGTAGTTTTAATGTCTTTTATCTATTGATTTGGTTCTTAAAAAAAAAAGGAAAAAGTCAGGACTGTTCCGAAGAATAAGGTGAAAACCGCGCTTCGGAATGTACAGTCTGGGATGATACATTGGCCGTGATGGAGGACAATGATCTTGACAATACCTTTTTACTTAACAGTTTGCTGACTAAGCAATGATACAAGTTGACGATTGAATGAAAAGTGGATGAGATGCCAAAGATTAACCTCAATAGTCATATAGGTTGCGAAAAATTTGTATGTGTCATTATTTTATTGCAGGACCTACCTTCTCTGTATACCTACCTATTGTAACCTAATCGACGATACTATCCTAACTGCAGCTTAACTGAATAAAAAAACAGTTGTTGAGCTAAGATGGTTCTAAAGTTGTAATTTTTTTGATTTGTTACTTTATGCATATTTTCTTTTACAGATCTACTTGCAGAAGAGGATGACATGGGACGGATCCAAGCTGTTAAAGCACACGTTGCAGTTTCTGGCCGTCCTTTCTTCCGTTTTTACGGCTATGACTAGAGTATCGGACTACAAGCACCATTGGAGCGATGTCCTTATTGGGCTGTTACTTGGGGCTACCGTGGCTATCATTACAGTGAGTAGTATTTATTTTTAAAAAATTCCAACAATTTTATGCCATAAGCAATCTGAAATATAAATGTTCCGCAACACTGAGGAAAACATTTAAAGCAACATATTATCGCACATTACTGAGTCGGTTTTATGTCACAACTAATAACTTGCTACTTATATTATATATACAGGGTGGTCCACTTTTTAAAATCAAACTTCAAGAACCAATACATCATCAAAAAATAATGTTAGTTTGATAAATAAACCATACCCGAGAAATGTTTACTTTTTGATGTACAGCACGTTGAAGTTTCCCGAAAAAACAAATATTTTTAGAATTTTTCTGTAAATGATGAAGTTTCACCGGTAAGATTTTTATAAATGATTTGGCACTGTACGCGTAATCTTTGAAGAATTTTTCATTTTTTTTACTTTGCCAGTGGCGGAGAAAATAGGGGTCCCTATTGCTTTAGTAAAAAAATATTAGTATGCCACTGGCTTTAAATTTAAAAACAATGTATTTTAAATTCTACGTTTAATTTGGGACAAAAAATTAATCTTGTAAGTTTTTCGTAACTATTACCAATTTCAAGTAAAATTTATTTACTTACTTATTACTGGAAAATACATGTGGACATACTATGTGAATCTATTATTTATTATTTAATTGTTTTACTTGCCTAAACATAATTTGCCTAATTCTAATACTTGTTTTACAAGAAGAAGCACATTTATTTATCACAACAGTCATATTCAGACCCATGATCCTCATGAAGTGAGACGCCGATCACACCAGCAATAATTTAGTTTCAACATCTAGTTAAGTGTGATGGGTAGAAATATTTGTTAACCTTATGTATTACCTCCAAGGTTATATTCAGTATCATTTGCCAATTTTCTGGAAAATAACTTATTTCAATTAATGTTGGTTCCAAATGGTTAGAGCTCCAGCTCACTCTGGCCAAATAGTTCGTAACTGGACGAATGCAAATTATCAGAACCGCTGGATAGGATGTTTGTCATATGAACGGTTATTTAATGTGGAGGGGAGGGACCGGTGCCTCGGCCTCTTAGATCATCAAATCTTAACCCCCTTGACTTGATGATGTTTACTCTGTACCAATAATTGGTTCAATTATTGAAGACAGAAATCAGTTGCAGACAAGAATAATAGACGCCTGTGACAATCTCAAGCAGAGGCCACATGAAATCATCGTGGGAATAAATTTTTTAATACGAAGATGTGAAAAATGTATCAATGCAGCAGGCATTTTGTGTCGATGATGTTATGTAGCTGTAATTATTTTCAATAGTTTTATTAAATATTAATTAATGAATTGATACAGTTATTATTTTATTGTTGTTAATTCAACTGTAATTTATAAATAATAAATAAGTAAATAAATTTAACTTGAAAATGGTAATAGTTACGAAAAACTTACAAGGATAATTTTTTCTCCCAAATTAAACGGAGATTCTAAAATATATTGTTTTTTAAATTTAAAGCCAGTGGCAGTATTTTAAAAATAATGTTTTTTTCGGGAAAGTTCTCAAAAAGTAAACATTTGTCGGGTATGGTTTATTTAGCAAACTAACATTATTTTTTGATGATGTATTGGTTCTTGAAGTTTGATTAAAAAAGTGGACCACCCTGTATACAGTGTGACACATTTCAAGCAGAAACACCCTTGTAAATATCAATTTATTTCGTTTTCTTTTTTAAAGATAGAACAATAATTTCTAATTTTAATGGATGAATCAATGATAATTTCGAATAACAGAAAACCATACAAATAATGATAACACAAGCCTTTAACATATACACAAAAGTAGAACCATAATCTTAAATTTAATTTGTTGTTGGACTGAACATTTTAAGAAAAACACATTAGTCAACATTTTATATGTGTATTTAACTTTTTTATGATTTCATAGGTTCATTTCGGGGTTCATACAGGGGTGTTTCCACTTCAAGTGGATCATACTGTACACATTTTTTTTGTGATTATGGATTGATTTTGTATTCCAAAACGATACAAGCACAACAAATCTAAGCATTTACTTTTTATTTCATTATCATGCTTTTATTTTCTCACCTTTGAAGTATAAAAAGTCATGAATTATCTATTCAAGAAAATCCTCAACGCTGTACTGGTATGTATACAAACTTGGAAATTGTTTTTAATGACAACTTCGTCTTGTTATATGACGCAAATAAAGAAAACATGTGTATCATCTTACTTAACGAAAAATAAGATCAGTTTGAGAACCGCTGGTGCTAAGAGGGAATAACACATCGTGGTAAGTATGCGATGTTGCCATCTTTGTCATCACAGCACCGAGCTCGTCGTATTAGAATCACGTACATTTACAAAAACTTTGTTAAAATAGTTCTTGGTCATTACTGACTCTGTTAGACGTAAAATTTTTTAAACATCTCCAGGAATAATAGTCTAAGGTCCGGTACTTTGAGTCTCGGTTAAGGCTTGATTAATTAATCAGGCGATTAGACTGTGATTACAATTTATAAAATAAATAAGTATATGTACAGTCTAATCGCCTGATTAGTTAATCAAGCTTTAACCGAGACTCAAAGTACCGGGCCTAAGGCTTGGTACTTTGAGTCTCGGTTAAGGCTGGATTAACTAATCAGGCGATTAGACTGTGATTATACATTATAAAATAAATCATTGTGTACAGTCTAATCGCCTAATCAGTTAATCAAGCTTTAACCGAGACTCAAAGTACCGGGTGTAAAGGATTTAAATCTGGAAAACGAGATGGCCATGCATCCTATCCATCTAACGGAAAATTTAGTATCTACAAATCTGTCTTGGTTCTTCTAAAAAATTGTTCAAAGTGCTAGCCTAAACATTAGTGGAGAAACAACAACATATTGAACACTAGGATTCTCAATAGTCACTTATGGTTATTACGGAAATTAAATATTCAATTACCGATAAAAATTAAATTCGTCTGAGAATAAAATTGCAGTAGGGAAGTCTTGGTGTTGATAATCTTGTCTCGTTATAGTAGCCTATGTACTCTTTATACATAAAACGTAATCATGCACTATTGTAATAAAACATTGACCACTAATAATAATAATAATAATAATAATAATAATATCGATACATAAGAAACTTCTAGTGCGCAAGGATGACAGTTAAGAAACAACTAATTTCAATGCGAGTAGTATAGATATACTGTTGGACAGAAAACGAATAACAAAACGTTCTATTTATCTTTCGACTCCACAGTACACTTTCCGTACCAAACTTTTCATAGGTATATACATTTTTGGCTGGCTATTGTATTGATATCGATGCTCTAACGTACACATTCTTCAACGAATGTAACCTAATGTGGGTGAAAGAAAAATAGATAATACTCGATTCGGACATTTAATGAAAGAAGAATTAATCTGAGTGGATTTCCAGGGAGCTTTTACTGCGGTAAAATAGCAACATTATCAAGGCTTATCCCCCATTAAAAACAAATTTCCGAGTTTGTAAACACCCTCTGCAGTTGTGTATAGTATTTAATTTATTTTAAGTATATATTTCATTTACTAACAATAAGTAAAAATGTTACTGTCCATTTCATTATTGTATACTTGTATATGTACCTACTGGAAAACTAAATGATAACAAACAACGGATATTTTAACTTTCATATGGAAAATTGCAGAGAAAATTTCCATTTCGACATATTTTCTCGAATTTTGACACGTTAGGGAGTATTTAATGTTAACGAACTAAACTAAGAAATTTATTCTAGGATTTCTATTTGTAATATTGGTCGTACCTGTATGTATTTAACCAAAATGAAAAACTCTTATAATAGTGAGAACAATGTTAAGCCATTTTCGGTCGTACCTTTTTAATTCATTAAACGGTTTATTAAATTTATCACCAGATATTAAAATTAAGATAAAGAAGAGAAACATTGCAGGGAAACTAAAGAGACCGAAATGTATAAGTACAAGGAAAGTATATAATTACTGTCATGGTTATGAACCATTAATGAAAAAGAATAAAGATATACCTAGACAAGATAGTTGGTAAGTGATTCTTAAGATATTGATTATGACGAATTCTATTTTCAAACGACCATAATTTGCCCAAAACAATGAAATAATTTTTTATCTAATATAGACGTTTCTTCTTCGCTAATGCGATATTCCATTCAATATAGAACGAAGGAATACAGCTTTACAGCATCATATAATTTTTTTGGATTAGTCAGTATTTTTAAAGATGAATGTTATACGTATATTTTTAAGAGTAATGTTATTGTTCCCTATGGAATACTCTTTTCGGTTATCACACATTTATATAGCATTATTACTATTACATTGTGTAAATTTTTATTGAACCATTTTTTAGGTATTGACTATTGAAATAAATTCAATGTTCCTAAAAATATATCCTTCAAATGATAATATTCTTTGATACCAAAAATCTAAGAATTCAAAAGGTATAGTTTCATAGATAAGCTTCTTAACTGATGATATTGCAGGAACCAATTACTCTATAGGCTACATGTTCGAACACCGAGGCATATCCACAAAGTAAGAGTAACTACTCAATATTTAAAAATGCTAAACGGCAGTATATTTTTTAAAAATTTACATATTCAGAAAGGTACTATTTTTCGACGTAGTCCCCTTCATCCTCAATACACTTTGTGAGCCGAGGGATGAACTTTCTCTCGGGCCCATTGAAGCACAGCACTGTAGACCTCATCGTTGGTAGAAAACCCTTTTCCACTCATAAACTGTTTCAGAGAAGAGGAAAGACGAAAATCAGAAGATGCCAGGTCAGGGCTGTGGGTGAGGAGTTGATGATGTTCCAACCGAATGAATCCAAGAGCTGCTTTGTGGGGTTGGCTGTGTGGGAACGAACATTGTCATGCAACAAGCACACTTCCTTCGTTAACTTTCCCATTCTTTTGTTCTGTATTGCCCTCTGTAGTATTTTCATTGTTTTACAGTACGACGTAGTATTAACTGTTTCCCCC